GTAGAAATCGAACTTGATTGTGAAGTAATATATCTCATATTAATTTATCTTGTCTTTCTTTTTATCAATTTTTTTCGGATCACTCTTTAGGTGATACCCCCTCCGTTTCAGGTTATAAGACATTTTGACTTTGATCGAAGTCAAACTGTTTCAAGTTTGACTAAGCTTATAAACAAATATATAAATATTTATAACTAGCTGGGTGGCCCGCGCGATTGCGCGGCTAGCACCCATATAAAATTATATATTTTTTAATATGATTTCACTTAAAATTTATTAAATAGTTATCTCGATGTCTTAAGATGGCCAAACCTTATTATCCTCGTGTTTCAAATTTCATAGTTTTTGAAAATCACATCAGCACCCTTTACTTCTATCATATTATTCGTTATTATATAGCTCAATCTACCACTGTTTCTATTCATTCTTCTTATAACCTTTAAAAATTAGATCTAAAATTTTTTTGGACTTTATTGTCCTGTTGGACTTGTTTTTTATAATTTCTAGAAGTCCCGTCAAACGCTGTCATTATACTCCTCTACGACCGTCCATTGCATCTTCTCTTTATTGTCATTATTATTTAAAATATATTATAATTATTGTTTAGGATCATTTTTTTTATTTTATAGAAGTTCCGCCAAAACATCAGCGACTTTGTCACTGTACTCCTCTACGGCTCGCCCGCTGCCGCCCTTCTTTATTGTCATTGAGATTTTAAAATCAAACATGATTATCATTGGGGTTTATTTTTTATTTTTAGAAGACCGAACCTTTAAAAATTGGACCTTATAGTTTTTAGAGTTTATTGTCCCGTTGGGTTTCATTTTTTTCATAATAGAAATCCTATCAAACGCTGCCAATATACTCCTCTACGACCCATCCGCCGCATACTCTTTATTGCCATTGGGATTGTAAAACTCAAACATAACTATCGTTGGAATTCATTTTTTATTTTCTAGAAGACCCACAACCATCGGTGGCTATGCCATTGTACTCCTATACGACCCGCCAGCTGCCTCTTATTTTTATTGTAATTGAGATTTTAAAAATCAAATATGATTATCATTGGGGTTTATTTTTTTACTTTCTAGAAGCCCCGCCAACCGTCTTGACCGATGATTCACGACCTGCCCATCGTCCTTCGTTTTAATCGTCATTAGGATTTTGTTTGGCGTTTTATTAATAGTTTTTAGATGTCCCATGAACCGCCACCACTCTGCTCCTATATAGACCTGTTACTTAATTAATCTCGTCATGTGTTTTAGATGGTATTTTCTTTCCATAGTCTTTATTTTTATCAACAATTTTAGTTATTTATAAATTATATTCCTAGTTGAAATTTTACTTTTCTTTTTCTAATTTCAGATTTTATTTTATTTTTATTCCGAATTTAATTAATCTACTATTGGTTCTTATATTTACTCTTATTTCAATATTGCTTATATTTAATTCAAATTGTATTCCTACTTGAACTCTTCTTTTCTTTTCCTTTTTCTAATTTTGATTTTTTTATTTTATTTTTTATCCTGAATTTTAATTAATCTCGTATTGGATTCCTGTATGTACTCTTCTTTCAATATTTCTTATTTTTAATTCCGAATTTCAGTTATTTTAAAATTGTATTCCTACTCGAACTCTTCTCCTTTTTTTTGCTAATTTAGGATTTTATTTTATTTTTATTCCGAATTTGATTAATCTCGTATTAGGTTCCTATACGGACTCCTCTTTCAATATTGCTTACTTTTAATTCCGAATTTCAGCTTTTTTAGATTGTATTTCTATTTGGACTCTTCTTTTCTTTTTCTCCGATTAATATAGGAATTTCTAGCCCCCACAGCGAACGTGGTGCCTTATTTCCAGGTTGTTTTAATAATATAATAGATACTAAATTAGTTTCATCAAATTATTGAATATATTTTCATAATAAATTTATCTTGGGTTGAAAATGTTACTACTTTTTTTTACAAACTTAATCAAACTTAAAATAGTTTGATTTTGATCACAGTCAAAACGTTTATGTAAGAAATAAGTGGATGCCTACTCGAAAGATGAAATATCACTTTACCGATAGATCATTGTCTATTTTCTCCTAGTTGACGCACGTTGCCGCTCTCGCCTATTCTGCGCGCGTGTACCCCTAGATAGGTAGTATAGTAGCTATACTACGCTACTATACTCGTGGCACGTTCGATTCCTCTGTAAAGAGAGGATTAAATTTTGGATACTAGTATCACGTTTTTCAAACTGCTAAACGGTGTATTTCGTGCGAAAACTTTCTATATTAAAGTTACTCTAAAATATCAGATTAATCTATTTTTTAAGTTTATAATAATTAAAACTCAATTAATCACACATTATTACAACATCGTTTTGCGTGAAACACTTAATCTTAATCTTCATGAGATTCAAATACCACCACCTATGTGCCATGGGTTGATGAAGGATACTACAATACACTGCTATGAGTATCAAATTATATAATGTTATGATCATTGGCAAAAAGGATCTAAATGTAAAATGTAGATATGCACTTGCTAATATAGGGATTGGATAAGGGTTACGTGGTTTCAACCTTAAGGTCGTGGGTTGAATTCCTAGCTCATGGGCACACTTTGTATCCTTAATTATGATGCCAGGTTTCTTTATATGCTGTGCAGGACAATTCTCTCACTACTAGAAAACCAATTTTCCCAAGCGGCCAAAACTAATTTTCGCAGACGGGAGGGAGGTCCGCCTGCAACACAACGACTGTGAAAATCAATGATTTTCGTAGTCGGGGCAACGCCCCGCCTGCGAAAATGCAAAAAAACGAATAAAAAAAATCGCCGCACCGCCGCCGCCACGCGCCTCGCCGCCGCCCCCCTCCCCCAGCCGGATCTAAGAGGGGAGGGGAGGGGACCCACCGCCGCCGCCGTCGTCGTCATCGCCGCTGCCGCCGTCGTCGTCGCTGCCGCTGCTCCATGCCGTCGTTGCCGCCGTCGGCCTCCCCCCTCCCTCCCCCGGCCAGATTTGCGAGGGAGGGAGGGAGGGGAGACGCCGCCGGCCGACCTGCGCCGCACCGCGCAGGCCGTCGCCGCCGTCGCCCCCGCCGGCCCCCCCCCTCCCTCCTCCGGCCAGATCTAGGAGGGAGGGGGCGAGGGGAGACGCCGCCGGCCGCGCGCCCTGTGCCGCCCTGCGCGTGTCGCCTCCGTCGTCGGCCCCGCCGCGCCGCCGGAGATGAGAGGAGAGGAGAGTCAGTGAGGGAGAGGAGAGGAGAGTCAGTGAGACTGAGTCAGTGGATGGAGAGGGAGAGAGAGAGAGTTGAGTGGTGGGGGGTGGGAGGAGAAGATAAGGGTGGGTTTTTTTTTTGTAGATACGATTTTTGCTGTCGGACCACAAAAGGTTCGCATGCGAAAATCTATTTTCGCAGGCGCCGCTTAAGTAGTCCACCTGTGAAAATGATTTTCACAGGCGCCGCTTAAGTGGGATTTTCGCAGGCGGACAGCGAACTTCACCCCGATTTATATTTTTGTAGGCGGTCATTTGGCTATAAGAATCATGTCCGCCTGCGAAAAAAAGACCCCTACGTTGGAAAAAATGTGTTTTCTATAGTGTCTTGATCCACAATGAAAAAGTAAAATACGATCGCACACTTTTGTTCCACAATAAAAGAGTAACAAATGTATATGTTGCGTTGGATTGAAATTAAACGGTATATATTAGCTTTGTAATGCAGTAAAACTGTTGTAGTATAAATATTGTTTATATACTGTTGTTTCAGTACAGTAGCAGTGGGGTTAAAAGAACAGGTACTATCGTAATGAATCTGAGCTTTTGATCATCAAAATGAACGGCTTACAATACATGCAGTCCAGTCTGGATCTCAATCCGGTGTAGATAAGTTTAGTGTTTGCCTGCTGTCGGGCTGCATCCTAGTATCTTATAGTATAAAAGATCATTTCTCTTTGTAAAGATAGAATCGTGAGTTTTCGTGTCCAACTTTAATCTATGTCTTATTTAATTTTTTTAAAAAAATTAAAAAATATAAGTCACGCATAAAGTACTATGTTTATCATCTAATAACAATAAAAATACTAATCATAAAAAAATTTCAAATAAGACGGACGATTAAAGTTGAACACGTAAACTTATGGCTACGCTTAAAATGTGACGGAGGGAGTATATAACTACATGTTAGGTCGGTGGACTTCTAGTTTGTTCACTATTCTTTAGAAATGCATTTATAGTTCACTAATTTATTGTGTTACATATTTACGTCAAAACAATATACTATTGTTATACTAGGCGATCAACCTATAAAAATATAAAGTGAAGACAAAGAATGATTGATCCATTTATACTCTAACGCTCTCTTTACCAACAGACTCCCTTTTAGTCCCTGAAAAGAAATTAAAAAAATACATTTATTTTTGAACTTCTGCAGTTACCTATTCAAAGTCCCACATTTATTACTGGTTGTAGAACTCATAAATTAACCTTTGAAAACCTAAAACAAGGGAAAATTTGAACCATTCCACCCTGACTCATGTGTTATTGACTCATGTGGGTCCTACATGTCATTGAGATATGAGTGGCATATCTTAAATTTTATAAAATTAGGGTGATATGGTTCCAACAAACCCTTAAAACAAACGCTTCCACTGTTATAAAGACTGCTACTCTATCCGTCTCAAAATTTGAATTAGTATATAGCTGCATTTGTTTTAGGACGAATGAAGGCCGGTACTCTTTCACTTCACATTTTAACTTTAACTCCGTAACGCTGACGATCCAAGATAGGGATCGGAACAAAGGCAAACAGGTCCCAAGTCCCAACTGTACCCGTGTCATCCGCAACAGCTAGCAATCGATCAACGAGCGCCACTTTATCCCTCCTCCCCTCTGGCTCTGCCCGCCCCACCGGTACGTGACGAGCGACGGCGCATCGCGACGCAACTGCCTGTCTGCCACGCCCAGCGCCCCGCCCGTCAGCTCGTGCACTATTTAACCCCACCATGCCGTGCGCCACACTGATCAGGCCAAATCGCCTGCAATAATTCTCTCGCCGTGTAACAACAACACACGCGCCAGCCGAGAGAAACCAAACACTAGACCCCCACCACGAGTTCACGACGTGCACGAGCGAGCGAGCTAGAAAAGCAAGCGAGAGCGAGCGCATGGCCCCGGCAATGGTAGCCGCCATGGGAGAGAAGCCGAAGCCCGCAGTCGTGTTGGGCGGCATGGTGAGCGGGCTGAGGGAGGTGTACGAGAGCGGGAGGACCAAGGACCTGGAGTGGAGGCAGTCGCAGCTCAAGGCGCTCATCAGGCTCCTCACCGACAAGGAGGAGGAGATCTTCGCCGTCCTCCACGACGACCTCGGCAAGCACCGCGGCGAGTCGTTCCGAGACGAGGTGACGATCGAGCGAGTCACCGCCGACACGTTTACTAATCCGTCCCATGCATGCATGCTTTGGTCTCTCTGCATTTGGTTTATAAGCTGGTATATGGTTTTTGTATGTACCGTCTTCAGCTTGGGATTCTTGTCAAGTCGATCAAGTACACGCTGCAAAACCTCAAGAAATGGGCGGCTTCGGAGAGGGTGAGCAGTAAGCTCGTGCAGTGTTACATCTGCATGCATTTCAGACAGGTACTAGCTCTTGTTACCATGGCTGTGGCCTCCTACGCTGTGCTTTTGTTTGCTGTAGGCGGAATCGCCGTTGGTTGCATTCCCTGCGACCGCGATGGTGGTGCCGGAGCCGCTCGGTGTCGTGCTCGTTTTCTCCTGCTGGAATCTGCCACTAGGTGAAGTGAAATAAACCCTATACTCTGTTCTGTTCTAGAAGAAGCAGAAATCTCTCGGTAGCAAGTTCTCTAGAGTTATATTTTGCCATAATGGCCAAAAGGTGTCTGTTAAATCACAAATAAACTCCCTTGCCCACTTGCCCGCCCGAAAATCAGGGACTGGCACGTTGTTATCATGTTGGATATGCATCATCTCACGGTATTAATTGCCTCGTGGATTAAGTTATTATTACACTCCACTCAACCTACCAGAACCCATTACGAAGCAGTGAAGACGACTCTGTATCGACAGGAACGTGCGTGGTTGTAACGACAAATCACGTTATTTCGATACAGGTTAATCACGGGTCACAATACTATGTAGATTGATTTGATATATATCTAACCGACTCATACGGGCAATTGAGACAATTTGGTATCACACGGGGTTGTTATCAGTTGCACTCATCACCCTTGGGTGTTCACAAGATGATGTATTGATGTGGTCCAGAAATCTGTAACACTGTTCATCGCAGCACTGTACCAGAAGAATTACTCCCTCCGTCCCACAACAAGCAAACCGTGGATTCCCGTGTTAACGTTTAATTGTCCGTCTTATATGATTTTTTTTATAATTAGTATTTTCATTGTTGTTAGATGATAAAACATGATTAATATTTTATGCATGACTTATCTTTTTAATTTTTTATAACTTTTTTAAATAAGACGAACAGTCAAACATTGGAAACGGAAATCAAGGTTTGTCTTTTTTTTTGGACGGAAGGAGTATGTAGATAGAGCTGTGACGGTTACTGTAGGTCAAATGTTTAGACGTTGATGCCCCTGATCTGACAGCTGGGAAATGGAATGCACTCCATGGTTACCCTAAATGCAGATATATTGTAGAAAAACAAAATTTATACTATTTTTCTCATCCTAAAATATAACAACCTATGATAATATTAGACTTATCCTAAACCATGAATTTGGACATACCGTATGATAAATTCGTTGTGTTAGGATAAGTTTAATCCCATTCTAAATTGTTACTATATTTTAAAACGGAGGGAGTAGAAAGTTTTATAAATGCTTGGCTAATGAAGTTAGTTGAATTGAATTGCTCGTACTTTCTCATGAACTTAAGTTTTTAAGCGAGTTGGCTAATAGTCCATGATGCACGTTAATATGGTATTAGAGTCAGGCATGGAATTCATATGATAGCTGATGTGATTAAATGAAAAACTTGAAGCTCTTCCATTCCATGTATTATAAGAGCAAGTTTAATAGTACAATCAACTACTAGCTCCAAATCATTTGTAATCAATTTAATAGCTAATTCATACAATAAGAACATATAAACGTATACTACACTATTAGCACATAGTCCCACCTGCCATACATACATTTTGTCTAGGAGCCCGTGCTGCAGCTAGCAACAAATTTGTAGCCCGCTGCTCATCTCTCTTTTTTTATTTCCTTGATATGTGTTTATAGCTGGCATATAGCCTGGTATTGTACCTGCTCTAAGGTACAACATCCACATGATTCATGTGGAGTTTTGAAGTGAACCGTTGGCTCTCTCTCATTAGCTCAAGTTTTTTGGTTGACTTGGTTGACGCATGTACTCCATCCGTCCCAAAATATAAGCATTTTTAGCATAGTGATAAGTCAAACATTTTCAACTTTGACTATTAATAGCAAAAAAAAATATAAAAGATCAATCATGTAAATTTGATGTTACCTAGATTTATCATTAAACAAACTATCATAATATGTAACTATTTTTATTTAAAACATTTTACTTTTATAGATATTGTTAGTCAAAGTAGTATCTTAGAGACCGTATCAAAGTTCAAAAATGCTTATATTTTAGGACGGAAGGAGTAGCTTCATAAACACTTTTGAAGCTTCATATACTAAATGATTCAAAATGTAGATGGGTCTCAACTACTTTTTTTTTGCGCAAATCAAACAATACCTCTTGAATTCTAATAAAATTTTTAAAGAAAGAAAGTTTCTGTTGTAAATGAATGTAGTACTCTGTATAGAAAATATGTAAGAATTCAACATTTCGAATTGGACCTCAATTTCAAATTTAGGATTACAAATAAAAACTATGCATTTCAACTGGGGTGTTACTGTGTCAGGGTCTTTACTCCTTAGGATTTGTTTGGGTGGGCCTCCGTCCTAGCTCATCCACATGGATGGGTGGATTGGACCAGGACTAAACCCATCCAATCGAGGCCTCGTGGAGACAAATTAACGGTTTATTGTCTATTTCATATTTCCCTCGTCCAGAGAAAGTAGTACCTCGCCTACTTAAATTTACAAGAGAAAAAAAAGGGTGGAAATAATGCAATATGGTTCAGATTCTTTAAAGCTTTGTTTTTTTAAAAAAATACTATATGATCCAAATATAGATTCAATAGAACAATACACATTATTGCAGTTAGTTGGGTAGTTAAAAAAATTAATGTGATTTCTCCTGCTTCTCGAGGAGTTGAACATAAATATGATAACCCCCGCAAATAAAAGTATGTACTCCCTCCATTTCATATTATAAGTCGTTTGGTTTTTTCTCTAGTCAAACTTTTTTAAGTTTGATTAAATTTGTGAAAAAATATAATAGTATTTTTTAACTCAAGATAAACATATTATCAAAATATATGTAATGTTAGATTTAATGAAACTAATTATATATTTTAGATGTTACTAATTTTTTTATAAACTTAGTTAAACTTAATAAAATTTAACTTAAAAAAAAGTCAAACGACTTATAATATGAAAATTGTAAACGGATGTAGTAACGCTTAATTGTACTGTATTTAATTTAAGGATATTCCGTCACCAGTGTCACCAAACTAAATTAATGGAATCATGCCCACTGCACTAAATCTGGCCATTCTCCGTGTGTCCGTACGCTCTGTCTGCAGGCTTAGCGTTGGAGCCACTCTCCGGCGCCATAGCGGCCGGCAACGCCGTTGTTCTGAAGCCCTCCGAGCTCGCGCCGTCCACCGCCGCGTTCCTCGCCGCCAACATCCCGAGGTATCTGGACAGCAGGGCAGTGAAGGTCGTCCTGGGAGGCCCCAATGTTGGAGAGGAACTCATGGAGCACAGATGGGACAAGGTTCTTTTCACCGGTAGTACAAATTCCATTGCCTGCAAAATCACCTCTAATTTGTTTCTCTTCTCACCATTTTTCAGACGGAAAAGTTATGTAAATCTAGTTGTTCTCAATGCATATCTAATGGTCGTTTCTTGGGTTTGATCAGGGAGTGCCAGAATAGGACGCATTATCATGGCTAAAGCAGTCAAACACTTGACCCCGGTTGCACTTGAACTGGGTTCGAAATGCCCATGCATCGTTGATTGGCTGGACAGTAAGAGGGATAGGCAGGTAGAATCCTCAATTTCTCATCAATATTCAGTTTCGCTGCAGTATACAGTCACACTGTAGGACAGGTTGACAGTGTCCCGTACACCAATGACACAGATTGCGGTGAACCGCATAATCGGAGCGAAATGGTCGACTTGTGCTGGTCAGGCTTGCATCGCCATCGATCACGTAATCGTCGAGGAGAGATTTGCACCGATTCTGGTCTGGTTCATCATTCTGAATCCTACGCAGTAAAACTTCTTGCCATACAAACACCGTGACTTACAATGTCTCTTCTTGCACATTTTTTTTCTGTTATCTGTAGATTGAGCTACTGAAATCAACTCTTAAGAGGTTCATGGCCAAACCGGGTGGCATGGCCCGTATCCTGAACGCAAAACATTTTGAGAGGTTGAGTGGCTATCTGGAGGATAATAGGGTGGCAGCTTCTGTAGTGCACGGTGGTTACATGGACCCCAAGAAACTGTAAGTTCTGAAAACCTGTTGGCCAAGCGTCTGCACACAATTGGTCCCGCACGATTTCATTCCCAATTGCTTGCAGGAATATTGAGCCAACCTTACTGCTAAATCCTCCTGCTGATTCTGATGTCATGACCGAGGAGGTATTTGGCCCGATTCTCCCAATCATCACGGTACGCACTGACAACGATTGCATAGTTTCTGGGTGGATGATTTCACATACATCTGCAACCTACGACTGAACCAATTTGATCATCCGTTTGCAGGTAAAGAAGATCGAGGATTGCATCGCGTATTTAAAGTCCAAGCCGAAACCGATTGCGATGTACGCCTTCACCAACAACGAGAGGCTGAAACGCCGGATCGTAGAGGAAACGTCGTCCGGGAGTGTCACATTCAACGACGCAGTTGTGCAGGTATGCACGGCCACACACCCCGTTTCAGAGCTAAAACTGTACCGCAGTAAAATTCTCATCGTTTTTTGCCACTGTCATGTTGTAGTACGCTCTTGAAAGCGTCCCTTTCGGCGGAGTTGGCCATAGCGGATTCGGACAGTACCACGGCAAGTACTCATTCGAGCTGTTCAGCCACAAGAAGGCGGTGTTCAAGAGAAGCTTTCTGATCGAGTTCATGTTCAGATACCCACCATGGGATGAGAGAAAGATCGGGACGCTGAGGCACGTCTTCAGCTATAACTACTTCTTGCTGTTCTTCAACCTGCTCGGCTTTAGGAGATGAAGAAGCCAGCCGAAGAAAGATTTCGGCTGTGAAGAAGTAAGCAGAGAAAGAAGCTACTACTATATAGTAGTATATAGTAGTAGTAATATACTACAGCTAAACACGTGGATTATATACGGTTCTACCTTGTGTGATGTGATAATGTATCACTATACTTCAGTTGCATATTGTATTGTCACGTTCTATGCTCTTATTTATTGTACTCTTTGGAAAGAAAGGGAGGGATTGTTTTATTTTTTTTAAAAAAATGACTAGTGGAAATAGGGTGCTCCGACATGTTATACATAAAAGAAGATATGTAAAGAGTTTAAGGGTGCTTTGGATCCTCAGCAAGGCCAATCCTAGCATTGTCTAGCAGGTTAAGTGTTTAATACAAGTAAAAAAATAGCTTTTGAAGATGTTGGTATATAAAGTGAATTGCTCATCTTCCCTCATCAGCTTAAGCTTTTGAGTTGAACTGGTCGGTTCATGCAACTCAATATGGTATCAGAGCCAGAGATATCGAGTTCGAATCTTGTCTGGCGCGCAATTAAATAAAAGTTACAACCCGCTTCTATTCCACGCTAGAAACTTGAGGGGGAGTGTTGGAATATAAAGTGAACGCTAGAGATTTGAGGGAGTCTCGTTTGAGGGAAAGTGTTGGAATATAAGTGAATTGTCCACCTTTTCTCTTCAGCTTAAGTTTTTGGGTTGAACCACGCAACAGTAAATACGCTGAGCTGGTGAAAACTTCCGTAAATACATGTTTTACTCAGTCAACGCAAGATTAACCAAATAATGGACCTTGTTTAGGTAAGCTATTGAGAAAGATTGTTTTAAAACGTTCAAATCCTATAATAAAATTCCTTTTGAGGCCTAGGTTTGGACCAAGGGGGTATATGCTATGTGAATTTATCTAAAGCATACACAAAAATGCTAGTACTTCACTTGGAATATTGGAGGGAGATTAAGGCTGTGTTTGCAACTACAAGTTTTTACCTTCTACCCTCTCTTTTTTACGCACACGTTTTCTAAACTACTTTTTAAAAAATCATACTAATATATTTTTTAAGTTTTTAGCTAACACTAAATTAATCGCATGCAGTAAAATATAACATGGTTTAAAAACTGAAAAGGTTACCGCATACGGTAAACCGTACAATTTTGTATACATTGGATGTACCTTCACACAAGGGCTCCGTCCATACATTCACTGAAGAATGAGATGGTGCCGGTCCTGTGAGGCTGTCATCAGTACAATCGGCACTGGGGGAGTGGATTTTAAACTCTCGAGGGGATGTCCCCTCGTTGTTTGCATGTTACCTAAATGGTTATAAAAAAATTTAAAAAAATGAGAAGATGTATTAGCATGTGATATATCACTCCACAAACATGTAAATTAAAATTTAACTTCTACAAGTCGCAATGAAAAAAACAAAATTGACTGTGAATATACGTTAACTAACTGTAGTTTAATTTGTTTTTTTCGTTGCGAGATGTATAAGTTAAATTTGAACTTGCATGTTTGTGGAGTGATATATCATATATTAATACATCTTCTTAAATTTTTTTAATTTTTTTCATAATCATTTAGGTGACATGCAAACAATGAGGGGACATCCCTCGAGAGTTTTGAATAGTCATGCAAAGTAGGTTTTGAGCGTTGCCATTTTCAACAATAATTGCACAATATTTCCACAGTTTACTATTCGCATAAAGAATGATCGATGATGCAACACGTTATCCGTTAATAACTAATCAAACCAAGACGAGCACAGACAGAGATCTATCAATTCCCCCATGTGGCAGGAGCAGAGCACAACCGCAAACGAACGAGGATTTCAGAGTTCAGACTGCACCCAGCCTGGTGTAAGCGAGCAGGATAACAGCTTGCCTAAACGCTAATGCCAAGCGATCAAGAATAATGCCTTATGCCTACTCCTGAATCACGTTGCGAGCATCAGTTTTCCGGTTGATCCGTCGCTGACGAACAGAGAGCTTCAGGGAGACTTTTGCACCCTCCAGAATTAAGCGATCTGGATTCTGGACTGCATGTGAGTGGGGATTTTGGGGGCGAGCAAAATGCTATAAACCACCAGCTTTGCTGCTCTGAAACCACGCTGTCTTTGAGTATTTTATGATCAGGCTTTGTCCAGCCAGCCTCGCGGAACGCACTGGGCAGTAGATGCAACCCTTGCAGCTACATATCCCGTGTCTCAATGAACCCTACTGCCCCGCTGTAATGTTCCAGGACCCTCAACTGCAGACTGCAAGTGGGTTATCCCGTAGGGAACCTAGAATACAAATTACTAAAAAAATACTATACATATTAATTATCTGATGTTTAATTTATATATTAATTAAAATAACATAAAGTAGTTATAATTAAATAATCAATTTGGGATACTGAGTTAGAGTATGTAGTATAATCTTTTCGCTTATACTTATCAGCCAAAATTTAAATTTTCGACTTTAAATTTGGAGTTGATTTTGGGTTTTTTCATCGAAGTTTATTTTTCAGCCATTACTTTTAGATTGCTAAGAACACATATATAAAAGTTTTATTCACAAATTATTTTTTATTTACAAATATGCCGTTCGCTTATTCCCCTGAATAAGCGAAACGATGGGTCCGTAAAATTTTGGATGCTGGCTGCAATTTACACAAGACGAAAGGATAACTCTATCCTTCTCTCTTAAAAAAAGATAAATTGTACCCAAATTTTGACATGAGCCATGCTGCACATACTTAAAATAGCAAATTTACGACCCAGAGAACGTACCTGGAGATATCATATTCTGTTAGTGTAAAATTTAGTATCTCTCTCAGTACTTTGTGTACTAAAATTTTTGCTAAAAATGATGATACCTCTTGGTACATCTCTACTTAAAAGTTCTTACTCTACTTAAAAGTTCTTACAAACTTCTTATTAACAAATATCTCAACCACTTAATTTAGTTAGTTGGGAGTTATAAAATGTTCAGATTTAATGACACTGTGATGTATCAACATGGCCAGTTTTTGTGAGGTATTCATCGAAACAATCTCAAATACACATGTTTCATTGCTACTTTTTCTTCTTCTTTTTTTAGAATTACACAGTATAACACAGACACTCACAACGCACGCGCATTCACCCCTATGAACGCACGCACACAAACCCTATCCCTATGATCATCTTCGAAGACTGGGCCGGCAAATCCTGAGATTGACAAAGTCACCGCATGCGTCGCTACTTTTTCTAATTACATGTATATAAAAGCTATATTAAAAATATAACTGTATGAAAGTTTTTTTCATGATAAATATATTAATACCAATTTCCTATGTTAAATCCTTATGTTTTATGTTAATTGTTATTTAAGATTTTAAGGTTTGACCGCAAGTATTTTAGGATGACATGTAGTACTTGAGAATTAAGGTAATACTTCTCCCGTTAAAAAAAGAATTTCCAAAATCAACTCATCTGAATTCATATTTAGAAATTGATTTTCTCTGAGACAGAAGGAGCACTCGGCATCTCGTAAAGCAAACTAGTTAATAATAAGGCAGCGCGAACGGTAATGATTTTTCTTAAGCAAAATTAGAGGGAATGAGTGATGTACACTCGGACATATCGTTGCATTAGTTGCACGGCTCCCCTACATTCATTCAGCTGTACTGTATATGCAACGCTAATCATGCATACAACTTGCAGCTTATTATAATTAACGTCACTACAGTAGGTGACCAAATGGACCGGGGACGATTTGTTAACAGTTACATATATAGGACACATTTATGATTTGCTCGCCCTCGCCTGTAGTCTTTCTCGAAGGCTTTTCCGAACGATAAAAGTCGTTTTCATTCCAGGGCCGTCGTCGTCCCTGATCTAGCCTAGCTGTTCAGTTGGGGTGTCAACAGCAGCGACCAATAATATATATCGATGCCATCTTCTTCGTGCGTTTTCTTTCCAAGGTTCCATATGACCTGGTCAGGTTCATGCCTCGTTTTGAAGCAGCGCGCTCCACATGTTGGCCTTGCAGAGATCTGTATTTCGTTTTCTCCTGTTGGAAAACGTGCAGGTGTATGGGAGGGGATCTGGGGGATGCATAGAAAACTGATTAGGAAAAACAGTGTAATCAAGAACACTACGGGAAGGCTTATGATTTATGAACTGGTAATTTGGTAAAAAGAAATGGCTCTGCATGCACCTCCTCTGCCATGTGAAATGAAGCGGTATATATAGATGATGTTCATTTTTCAATTTGGGATTTTACGAGCGTACAATGTTTCTAGGTGCAATATTTTGTTTTCTAAAGGGGGGAAATAACGCATTATCTAGAGGGGGGGGGGGGGTAACAGGATTTTGTACATGTTGAAGTAGGGGAATGGATATAATCTCTTGAGGATATTCCCTCGTATACCTTTTTAATTAAATTTAATGTAAATTATTGTGAAAAATTCAAGAATAAAAACAATGTAGAGAGTAGTAACATCTATTATCTACAAAAATTACTCTACTAAAAATTGAGTTCAAACTCAATATACACTAGTAGGAAAATAAAAAGGATAAATCAATATGTAAATAGTACCGGTATTGTTTATATGTTCAATTTGTCTTTTTCTATTTTTTGACATGTGAATTAATTGTAATCTTAAGATTTTGTCGAGTGGTATATATGTTGTATGAATATTGACAATGTTTTTTTTAACTATTTAGATGGTGTTGACAAAACGAGGGGATACTCCTCAAGAGACTATAGCAGTTTCCCGTTAATGTAGAAATATATCATCTATTTCCTCTGTTTTATATTATAAGTTGTTTTGAATTTTTTCTAGTAAAACTTTTTTAGATTTGATCAAATTTATAGGAAAATATAGTAATATTTTCAATACAAAATAAACATATTATCGAAATATATTTAATGTTACATTTAATAAAACTAATTTGATTTTATAGATGTTGCCAAATTTATCCATAAACTCGGTCAAATATAAAGAAGTTTGATTAGAGAAAAAATCAAAACGATTTATAATATGAAATTTGAGGGAGTATATTTACTCATTGGCTCAAGCTTATATTCCATGGCAGCATGGATAGTGGAATTTGCTTTGCTTTGAGATTTTGTTTTTTTTTTCCAATATTTGCTCTAGCCAAGTAAACTTCTGCTGTTCTGCAGTGTGGCGGCTTGTTCTCTTAAATTAACCTTGTTCACATGCGTGCAATAGTATAGACTTAGCGGCTAGGAAGATCTGTTCAATTCCTCGTTGCTGAATGCCAGTTTGACTTTCTTATCAATAATCCGTCTCAAAGTACTCACAAGATCACATGTTTAGATTAGGTAAATCATGTATATCTTTTCAACAACATGTACAAGATCCCTTGTTAATGGGCCACTACATGCCTACAATAACCGCATCCATGCATGACATCACAAAATTTTTCTACTTGATCCCAAAGTTTCAACTAATCCACTGATGATGATGAGATAAGGTAAAAAAAAATGAACTTTTGGAGCCTCCCTAACATGCTATTTACAGCCTTTCGACGGGTAACTCATGAAACCATCTTATCGCTTGGTTTGGATCCGACGGCTGAGATCAACGCCGTCGTCTTCTCCTGCAGCTCGCGCACCACCTCCGCCATGGACGGGCGGAGCCCGGTGCCGTCGCTGACGCACCGCAGCGCCAGCGCCGCCACGGTGGCGGCCTCCTCGACGTCGTAGTCACCTCCCAACCTCCGGTCCACCACGTCGGCCAGCTTGCCCTCGCCGATCGAGGGCCCCACGGCGGCGGTGAGCCGGTGCCCCGTCTGGGCGCAGATGGCCTCCCGCCCGGTGACGAGCTCGAGCAGCAGCACGCCGAAGCTGTACACGTCGCTCTTCTTGGTGGCCACGCCGGAGCGGAGGAAGTGCGGGTCCGCGTATCCCGGGGAGCCCATGACGGGGCGGCCCCACGCCCTGGTGGCGCCGGACGGCGGGCGGACCGCGGCCGAGAACCCGACGTGCGCGAAGCCGAAGTCGCAGAGCTTGGCGTCGTGGTTGGCGTCGAGCAGCACGTTCGAGGACTTGATGTCGCCGTGGATGACGGCGGGGTCCCGGCTCTCGTGGAGGTACTCCAGCGCCATCGCCACCTGGAACGCGACGGCCATGCGCCGCGCCCACGGCAGCACCGTCCGGCTCTTCCCGCCGCTCCGGTGGTGGAGCCTCTCGTGGAGGTCGCCGTTCGGTGCGTACTCGAACACCAATACACCCTCATCTGCACACAGAAACAAGTTCATGTCAGCCGCCGCCGCATTAACTCAAAACGAGTTGGAGATTTCGTAGATAGAGTTCGTCGATGAGGTGACGAGTGATTTCGTGTTTACCTCGTTCGTCGCAGTAGCCGAGGAGGCGGACGACGTGGGGGTGGCGGAGGGAGAGGAGCACGTCGCGCTCCTGGCAGAAGGCGCGGTGGAGGCGCTCGCTGCTGCGCTGCACCTTGACGGCGCCGAGGCGGGAGGAGGTGAGCGACGCGAGGTACACGGTGCTGAACCCGCCCTGCCCGATCACCCGGGACGAGAATCCGCCCGTGACCGACTCGATCTCCGCCCACCCGAACCGCCTCGCCACCACCCCGCCGCCCTTCTCCACCACCGACCCCGCGCCGCCGCCGCCGCCGCCGCCGCAGCCCGGCTCGTCCGACACGCGTGCATCGCTCTCCATCTCGCCGCCTCCCACGCAGCAGCAGCGGGCAAACGCCAAGAGGCCGCACCCGTCCAACATCTTGCCGCGCGCGCTCGCGCACACGCACACACACGATGTCACGAGTACACGCCCTCTTGATACCGGCTTCGCTTACGATCGCGATGGAGAGCAGGTGGTGCAAGCGCAACGGGGACCTAGATCAGCCGGAGCCTAGTGGCGCCGTTGCTATATACCGCGAGGTTTTGCATCGCACCTCTCCCCTCGAGTGGACCTCAACTAATCATTGTGCATAAAGAAATGCGAGCTCGATCGATCGGGCCACTTTTTTTTTAGGTGGGTGGGTGATTGATATCGTCATGCGTCTCGTTCTAAACCTGTGCGCCAATAGGATTACCGGAACGTTGAGGGTGCAGCACCGCGTGGTCATGGGTGTGCTTAAATTCGGACAAGTATTTTACTCGTACCACTAAAACTTTTTTCTTTCTTTTCTTTTTGGACGAAAGCCGCTTTGCGGGGACGCACTAGCTAGATATGGATGCGTGGAATGTGACGTCCTACCGGCAGGCACAAGTCGAAGACATTTTCTCGCCTTTTTGTCAGAGACTGATGAGAGCGCCTTTTATCTCCTCCAGGTCATGGCCTTTGTTCATACTAAAACATTTCTGGCTGGCTAGTGGATGGATGGTATCCGAGGGCAAGTAACATCCCAAACGGAAATGTCCGGCTTCTTGTGAGCGATCTAGTGCCAAGCCATTTTTCACTTTCGACAGCGTGTGCGCCGTGCGCGTGCTTACTTACCGCGCCACAGAGATAACAAAATGTAAATACCATTTGCTCACGCATGCAGTCACATGGTAGCTACCGAGTGAGATTCCTTTCGGGCCCTTTTGATTTGGAGGAAATACATAGGAATTTTAGAGAATTCCAATCCTATAGAAAAATTTTCTATGAAGCCCTTTGAAACAAAGGATTACATCATATCCAATCCTTTGAAATTCCTATGGAATGAACAATCTTATAGAGATTTTGGAGGAAATTTAGCAAGAGCTTCAACCTTTTACTAACTTTCCTTTGAGTCTATCTCTCTCATCCAATTCCTATGTTTTTCCTGTGATTCAATCAAACGGTCATTCCTTTGTTTTTCCTGCGTTTTACAATCCTCTGTTTTACAATTACGTTCCTATCAAAATCTTATGTTTTTTTCTATTTCTACGTTTTCTCAATCCTTCAAGGGTCCCTCAGATCGGTACCTATACTCAGAATGCCCACCATTTCAACGGGGTTTTTCACCGGTTTCCCAGAGGAGTATGCAGCACACTGATCTTACGAGTAAAATTCAACGCGTTGCTACGAATTCAGTGTACTGGCTCCGTGAAATTTTACTACTAGTACTACTCGTCTAGTCCAGTTTGGAGACAATAATCGGCATGCATTCGCGTGCATGAACACGCAACGCAAACTGATTAAGCACGTACATGCATGTGGGGACAGCAGGGGGCTACGCGAGTACGCGGTTGAGATGTTGACCGGGGGGAGCAGCTGATTAACCAGGCGTCACATGAACACAGGATGGTTCGTCGGGGTCTAACCTTACCTGACCCAACTAACGAACCGTGGTACTACTTTGACATAAGAATGTTGTTGGTGCGATGATGGAAAAGACTTCAACTTTGGAAGCTTCTTGCTCAGAGCTGATGAGAAGGAGCCCTAACTTGAGACCTCGAGACTTTGTGAGACCTCTCAAGCTAGCTAGATACTAGTCTCAACAAGAGATAACTGGCGCATGCAAGAGGAGTTCAAAACTAAACACAAAGAATAGAACAAGGCCGAGTTTAGTTCCCAACTTACATCAAAACTTTCCTACACATATAAACTTTCAATTTTTTTCTTCAAACTTTCAATTTTGACGTGGAACTAATCACAGCCCAAATAGATCGATGAACGTGTTGTGAGAGAAACGCGCGGTACGACAAGATATATATACACTCACCGATAGGATAGTGACATGGTGTGAATGTTTTCCCTTAAAACAAACATGGTGTGAATGTCGTATGCAGCTATCATATGGAATACAATGATATTCAGAAGTATTTCACTTATAAAATATCCAGCATTTTAATTTGTGATCGTGAATAGTCTACTGTATCCAGCATTCCAGCTGTATCCAGATGAAAATGCTGCACTGCTTCTTACGCACTTCGGGTTTTCGGTCTGCTGGAAAATATATGGGCCTCAAGTCCTCCCAATACGTGCTGTATGTACGGAACACAACTGATTCAGCCCTCTGGGCCTTCCTGAATAATTGGGCCTTTCTTTCTCAAGTCTTAGGACGGGACACGATACCGTTGAACACGTTACAGCTGGGCCATCAGATTCTAGTTTCTAGCCCAATGCTTCCCATGAATGGGCCAAATATGAGTACCATTTATAACAAATTAACAAGAAAAAAGTCTACTTTACACCTCTTATCTAAGGGTCGAGTTTTAATGTCACTCCTTAGCCGTGAAACGGTGTACAACGCACTCTTTATTTTCCAAAACCAGTACAAAGTAGTCCCAAGGCACAATTAAGATCGGCTTAAGCTGAGATGGCATGTTGACTAGATTTCATCCTGCGTGATGTCTACGTAGCACTTATAGTTAGAAAAAAAAGGTTAGACCCATATGTCAAGAGCTCATGTCGTCTACCTCCAACCTCTCCTCTCTCCTATCTCTTTCACATCTCTCCCCACCTCTCCCTCTCTTACCAATCTTTATCTAGGACGGTCGTAGGTGGAGAAAGGGGTGGCAACCATCGCGCATCTCCTCGTATAAGGGGTCTGTGTTGTATTGGTGCGACGCGAACGTCGTCTTGCGTTGCATCGTGAATTCCATGGAGGATCACAATATCATCCTTCTTCGTCCACAACTGTTGGAATAGGAGTCGTCGCTCCTCGGCACCACTTGCACTGGTGCTACCGCCGGGGCTAGCCACAACGGCGGCTGAGTAGAAGGCATGGGGTGGTATGGTTTGGGCCAATGTGGTATTGAAGTCAATGTCATCGGAGTCCTTGTTCCATAGATGTTGGTGTTGGGGAGGAGGCAGCCACACTATGGAGGGGTCGTCGATGATGGTAGGGAGGACCAGATTGGGATCAGATCAGAGATGGTGGGGCCATCGCCCAGAGTGAGGCCTTCAACTTCTTGGTGCGCTCCTCTTCGGCGACTCCCTTGCCAACGAGTGGCTCCGAGTCGTCTCCCTACTCTTTGAGCCCCAACCCCGCCGAATGTATGCGGAACTTTGACGGCTCTCAACATTGTTAAGGAACCGTTTATACTGATTTTAAAAGTTAGAAAATATTTTGTATCTGATTTTACGATTGGGGGAATGATTACGTACAGTAGACCTTTTCCTTTATAACACCTGCATGCACGCCCTGCTATCCGGTCAGAGCCAGGAGAATTCGACGTAGTACAAAATCAGAGCCTTTGCCAATCACCTGCTCCGACGAACCAAAACTTTAACCGGACAGAGCGTCCTCTAAGAAACGGGCTTTTAACATCCAATTAATTGTTATGTTTGTGGGGGTGTAGCGCTGGTAGTGCATGAACAGCTACCACGTCCGGTGCGCGTTCGTGCAGCAACTCGCGCGCGGTTGCCGATTTAACCCATGATTGGTGTGCGCATGGAAACACATAGTTATGGCCTTGACGTGACAAGCAAAGGAAAGCAAGGGAAAAGGTCATGCGATTGGTGCGTACTTGTTCACGGTTTAATTTGTTGCGTCGGAGGAGAGGATAGAGAGATTGGAGCGTTATCCGGTCCAAAACTCTGGTGGCGCCCAAGAGTTGTTACGTTCCGTCGCAAGCCACTGCAGCAACTGTAGCTTGGATGAATGGCCAAAAAGCTGATGGAGATCATGCATGTTGTGCCTTTTTTTTAAAAGAAAATGTGGAAACAAACTAAATCAAGTTTGATTCATTTTTTTTTAACTCGAACAATTTTGGACCACAGAACATGCATCAACATATAGTAAGATTTTACTCTCATTTTTCTATCGAATGGTATATAGCAATCCCGATACAAAGGAAATTCGTCAAATTCATCTTTTTTAGTCTCTTGACAGAGACGAAGAAACGTGATCCTCTCCCTGTTCCGGTTATCTATTAAAAACCATGTGCTTGAAGCGATTGTGTTATTAAAAATAGTGGTGGGTTCAGCTCTATCAAGGTGGTGTCGGATTATGGCTCGAATGGGCAACGGCAGAACCAGGAGTACAAGTAATGGCCCGGCCACCCCAACTTGAGCAAATCATAGGTACAAAATCATGTAGTTGTGTAAGTGTAAGCTGTGTACTAGACGCCAAAAAATAGCTAGTTCAGCAAATCTTTCCATTTCCTGCTATGCTGGTATTTTGCAAGAAGGGATACACTCGAAACATTAGCTAGCCATACATAGAAAAAAGATCATAGCAAAAAAACATAGAAACAGAAAAAAAACACATAAAAAGACAACTGCAAAACAAAGGATTATAAAATATAGTAAGAAAATTGTGAAAGTAGTTGTTTTGAAAGGTATAGCAGTATAGAAATTTCATAGCAAAAGAAATTTTAGGAACTGTAAAATAGCTGCCATGTTGATTTTGCTTGTCATTTAGGGCCTGTTAAAATTGATAATATTTTCAACCATACCATTATTTGGTAAAATTGATAATTATGTGGCTACATTTAGTTTATTATCAAATATTGACAATGTATATGGAATTTTGGCAACATTATCAAGCCAATTCTACCAAAATTTTGGTATATTGTCAAATTTTGGTAAGGTTCATTTTGGCACCAAATGTGAACAAACTATTACTTTCTCTCGTCAGTATGTCGTCTTTGTATTTGGCTTCTCATTTACCTCGATCCCGTGGAAGGATTTAAATCTCCACCTAAGCCCTTTAGCTGCTAGAGTTTTCATCACCTACAATCAGCTATAGTGGGCTATAGCTGCAGCTAAGCTATTTAGTTATTTTGTAAAAATTGAACATGAGTCACAGAATAAACAGTTCATCACAGTAGAATAAACAGTTCATCATAGGAATAAAAAAAAATCTTGCATGTCTTGCTTGGCGGAGAGGAGTGGGCCTCTGTGGAGTCAGGAATCAGGATGCAGCCGCCACTGTTGCAGCCTCCGTGAGACATTGCCACCATCAGTGCTTGGGAAAGAATCAAAGAACAAAGAATTGTGGGGACTGGGGAGGGACCACTGCAACCTCCGGGCACAACCGCCGCCACCAACTCCGGCGCATCCTCCGGGTGTAGCCGCAGCCGCCGCTGATGCCGCCACCGCCTCCGGGTGCAGCCGCAGCCACCGCCTCCGATCACAGCCGCAGCCGCCGGAGTCGTCACCTACGGTTGCAGCCGCAACTGCCGCCTCCGGGCGCCGCCGTCGCCGCCATTGGGTACAGCCTCAGCCGCCGCCTTTAGGCACCACCGTCGCCACCACCGGGCGCAGCCACAGCCATCACCGTCGATGCAAGCCGCAATCGCCGCCATTGCCTATTTCTCTATCGAGGAGAGGAGGGGGAGATAGACAGAGAGAGAGAGAGAGAGAGGGACTTAGGGTTTACACCTTCACATGAGAGAGGGATAAGGGCCAGTCTTAGCCCGCAGCAAATTCCAGCCCATCATCAAGGTTTAGCTGTTGCTAAGGCGCTAACTCAAGTTAATTTAGCGGCTATCTCCCGTTAAGACCAGCTATTAGCGTTCGAGATTCTGTAGAGGCAAAATTAGGATATCTTAGCTATTGCTTTCCTAGAGATTTAAATCCTTGATCCTATGCACGCATAATGGGAAAAAAATGGTTGGAGTGTTTTTTTTTCTAATTTCTCCCGGGAAATGATCCCATAGGAAAATTTCCTTCAACTTTATTGTACCTCAATCCTGATAATCAAAGGACACTACAGTGCCGAATCCTATAGTAACCAGAATCCTACGGTTTTCATGTGGAATTCCCGTGAAGCGATGACTAGGCCTATGTGAAAAGCTGTCTGTCATGCTAGATGTTTTGAAATGGTCCCTTTTTAAGCATTGATCGATCTAACCACCTACTCCTACTTCTAAAGAAAAAAAAAGATCTAACCACCTATTTCACTATGCACGTATCAGCCTTTGCAGTAATGTAGAGATTATTATAGCTGCGTGTGGTTTCTAGTAAATCAATCCACTAAACGGTAAACCCCCCTTAAAACAGGGGAGCGAGAAAACAAAGAAATAGAGAAATTACAGTATAGTAATGCAACTGTAAAATAAAGTATTACAAAACATAGGCAAAATGTACTAATGATCATTTCATTAGACCGCAGGAAAACTCTAGGGTGCTGTTTGGTTGGAGATTGCAAACGTAAACGGTAAGGACATCAGATAGCACCGTGATTGTAATCAGATTACGGCAAACTTAGATTTTGTTTGGTTCTCACACGTGGGTCGAGGGGAGCGGCGGAGGCGACGCTTGATTCTTTCTCGTGTTGCCTCTCCGTATCGTTAACGCTTATCGCTCCTGATCGAGCGGTATCGCCTCTGAACTGGGCCTGTAATGGGTTCCAAGGTATCCAATTACGGAGCGTCTCAAACAAACAACGGGAACCGGATCTGTTTGCGCTGGAATCGGGTGCGGGCTGAATTTTACCGAACCAAACAGCACCTAGAATTTAAGAAAAGACAAAGACCTAAAGAAAACTTTCTATGAGATTTCTAATACTTGTATTGTAAGATTCAATAGTGTACTTAGTTTGTTTCGAAGTAGGAAAAAAAATCTCTAGGAATGATTTTTTTCCAAAATTACTCTGCTTTTCCTTAAAACAAAGGGACCCTAACATGTTACAGATAGGTGCAGCAGTACTGTGAACTACTCCATTCGTTTCAAAATATAAAACGCATTAGCTTTTTACACGGTTTCCACTTATAGTTTGACTATTGATTATTTCATAATATATTGTCAATAACAACAAAATTAACATCATGTGAAAATAATTTTAAATGTGAATCTAATAATACTAAACACAAACTATATTGTTAGCTCAATTATTAGTTAAAAAAATGTTGATTTATCAGAAAACAATTACGCTTTATATTTCATATTTAGAGAGCGTACTGTATATTGAGAGAAATATGTACTGTAGCACTTTGATCTGGACCATGCATTGTGATGAATAAGGCATTAGATGATATGCATAATGCACCCCTACTACTGTCCTCTGCCGTAGCCACATGCTACGATAGACGATCCTATTTCGTATTGTACCTGCCACTGAGACACACCAACCTGTATGTATGGTATGGGTACTGCATAGTTGTGAGTGTCAACTGCTTCATAGGAATATTCACTTTCTTGAATGGAACTAGTAATACGGGAATGCAAAGCACATATTTCAGACTGCTAATTAACCAATGCAAAAATGTGAAAAGCATACGCAAAATCATATCATGAACTATAAAACCTGTTATGCTGGTATTCTTCTCAACAACCCCTCTGTCTGTGAACCTAATTTGGTTCATGCTTTTTTTTTTTTTGGATAGTTTGCTAGTTACCACAGAAAGAAATCAACAAATGGTATACGGGATGTTGCCAACATCACAGCAAAACAACTGAAAAAGTATAATAGGGCAATTGTGACCCTCTTGAACTGAAAAAGAAGACGGTGATGCCTGCCTGGCTTTCTTTAGCCCCCTCACTCTGCGCGCACTGCCACCTACTGAACCGCAAGGAAGCTGGTGTTGCTGGTTGGGGCTGAACTCGTCGCTGCCGCAGTTGTCGCCGGCACGGGTGCGTCGTTGCCGTCGCCGCCGCCGCCCGCAGTTGGCTTCTGGAACTCTATTTTGTACTGCATTTTGTCGTCGTCGTCGCCATCGTCGGTGTATTCTCCACACATCTCGTCGCTGTCCGTCTCCTCCGCTGCTGCTGTGACATTTGGTTCGCCTTCGGAGCCTTCCACCTTCTGTACAAGAAACAAATTTGATTAGCTCCCGTGCAATCAACTTGAAACTGAGACTAACTTGGATCAGGTGATTTACCTTGTCTGGGGCGTTGTGGACAAGGAGGGGCACCGCCAGCTGCACGTTGCCGACGTCGTTGCTGCTCTTCCCCTCGAGCTCACGCTGGCTCGGGTTGTCCTGCTCGGAGACGGTGACGATGGCGAGGCTGGAGTGGGAGGCGGCGATCGTGACGCCGCCGCCGCCGCCGCCTCTGCCAGCGAAGTGCTTCTTGCGGTAGATGGCGTCGAGCTGGTGGAAGTAAGGGCAGGTCTTGGAGTCCTCGGGGCGCCGCTTGTTGCTCTCCTTCACCTTCTTGAAGTACTTGTTGATGTTCTCCCACTTCTCCTTACACCGCTTGGCGCTCCGGTTGTAGCCGATCCTCTGCATGCCGGCGGCGATCTCCTCCCACAGCGGGCCCTTGGGTCCCATGTCGTTGTACTGCTCCTCCTTCTCCATGCGCAGGTCGATGAGCGCCTGCACCTCCTCCTTGGGCCACCGCGACGGCGCCGTCGTCCCGCTGCCGTCTCCTCCTGCTGCCGCCCAGGCGTCCTCCGCCTTCGCTCTCGGCGCCGGCACGGGCACCAGCTGCAGCCCCGCCGCGGCCGCGTCGTGGCGGGTGGCGCCGGCGGACGAAGGGGAGAGCCTCACGGGCTCCCCGCCGGCGCCACCGACGCGCTGGAGGAACGCGATCAGCGCGGCGTCGCGGGACGCCGCCGCGGCGCGCTCCTTGGAGAGCTGCTCCCGCTCGCGGTTGATCCGGGCGACCTCCTTCCGCCGCCACGCCTCCTCCCGCTCGGTGCGCTCCGCCTCCCACTTCTCCAGCGTCTCCAGGAACACCCGCTGCATCGCGTCCTGCTTCTCCGTCACCTGCCTCATCATCCCTTCGAACATGGCCATCAGCTTCCTGGTGCTGCTGCCCCCTTCGCCATCACCGTCACCATCATCGCCAAGCCCCTCCCGACCGCCGCCGCCCGGCGCCACCGCCTCCTCCTCCTCCTCCTCCTCGTCGGACTCATCGTCCGACTCAGACTCCGACGACATCGACAAGAACCCGAGGTCCGCCGCCCCGGGCAACATCATCCACGCCATCGCCAGCGGCTGCGGGTCCTCCACCGGCATGCCCTGCCGTTGCTGCGGCGGCGGCGGCGGCGCCGCGGCGTGGAGCGCCTCGAGCTGCGAGAAGAAGCGGTAGCTCTTCCCGTCTTGCCGCCCGGTGCGCCCTTCCTTGGTGCGCTTGTAGTACTTGTCCACGTTCTCGAACTTCTCCTTGCACTTCTTGCCGCTCCTCTGGTACCCCAATTCCGCAAGCCTCCTGCCAAAAACAAAAAAAAAAAGAAGAGAGAAATCGCGCACACACGCCGCGCTGGCTCTTGTCAGTTAATTGCTCCTTTGCTTTCACGCCTCAACCATGACGCTGAAACGTAGTAAGGCACGACAACAACAATGAAAGCATGTACGAAGTGGCAACGACTACAGTCTACATACAGTATGTGGTACGCACGGAGGTATAGTAGTAGCATCTTTCACCTATCGATCGTAGTGGCATACGCATACGTACATGGATGAGTCAAGACTTGACATTCTTTTTCGTCTTTCCATGAAAGAGACTAGAGTTGGCGGCGCTGAATTAGAATTCAGCAAGAAGAGGACTCCCTCTGTCCAAAAAACCTAATCTATTATTGGATGGAACGTTTTCTAGTATAATGAGTTTGGACAGGAATATATCCAGATACGTTGTACTAGAAAACGTCTAATTCAAATACTAGATTAAGTGTTTTTTTTGGGACCTAGAGAGTACCTTCTACTACTAGCAGTTGTACTCTGAAGATGAGGACTCGGAAGTCAGAAACTCAGAGGAGAAGTGATGATGTCAAGTTGATGGCATCGTGAGAGTGGGGAGAGTCAGAAAAAGGGTGGAAAAAGAATTAAACTATGGTGCGAGCGGCGTCGGGATGGGAGCAAAAGGCTTCCTTCCTTCTTTTTCCCAAAAACTGGAGTGCATCGAAGTTTAGAAACGAATAGAAAAACACAGGTGCAGCTGCCACCTCGCAGGCTGCAGCTACTGCTATGTCTCTGTGTGTGTATGTGACTGTGTCGTTGCCAGCAGCAGCAGCCGCCTGCACTCCACGAGACGAAACGCCCACGCTGTGGCGCCATACGCCGAGATACCTGTATCGTCCCTGCACCTACCATATTACCAGCAGGACCCCAATCTTTGCCACAGAAACCGAAGAGCTACTAGCTAGCATTACGCCAAAAGAGCCGAGAAAGATGGTGCTATGCTAGCTAGGAGACGGGCGCGCGGTAAAAAAGATGGCAAAAGGATCAGTAAACTCGCCGTCGTTTCACGGGACGCGGTGCTTGCTACTACGGGGTGATGGTGAATTCCGTTAGCGAGAACAGCAGCATTCCGGAGAGGACGGCGGCCGACAGCGCGCGAGGGGGGAAAAAATTACCGCGCGGGTTGGGTTGAGTTGAGTTGAGTTCCGTACCTGGAGAGCTCCTCCCAGACGGGCGCCTTGAGGGTGGCGTTGCGGAAGGCGGCGTCCATCTCCGACCGGATCCTGATGAGCGCCAGCGTCTCCTCCCGCGGCCACCGGTTGCCGGTGCTCCCGCTCCCGCCGACGCCGCCGGCGACGACGACGTCGTCGACCATCATCATGTCGTCGTCGTTGGAGTTGACGGCGGCAGCGGGGAATTCTTCGGGACCCGACACCTGCGGCTGCGTCGGCAGCAGGACGTCACTTGGAGCGGCGGGCGCCGGCGTGGTCACCGGAGGCAGGTCGAACGCGGCGGCCATGGTCGGCGGCGCGGGGACGACGCCATACGGCGGGTCGCCGGCACCCTGGGGGTGCTGCATGGCCACCACCACCTTTCCTTCCCTGCGCAAAACACAAAATTCAGTTGATCTACGCACACACAAGACAGGGATAGGCGATGCACAAAAGCCAGGAACTGCAGTGCTGCCTTGCCACTCCACAAGCAAGCATTGCTGCTGCTGCTGCTACTCGCGTACCACCAACTAGCACACCCTACGAGAGCGATTTGGGCGCTGAATTGGGGACAATTCTTGCCTCTACGCCCATCTATCTTGGCCTCCGTTTCCAACCAAGAGAGAGTGTGGTGGTGGTAAGGGAGAGAGAGTAAAACTTACAACTTTGGACGACGGAGATGACGGAAATTGCAAACCGGGGGGGACTGTACCTAGGGGAGGAGGAAGAGGAGAGACGGTGGTGAAAAAGATGGGGGCATGGACAACTGGAAAGGGGCAAAAGAGAGGGTGGGAGAGGAGAGGCAGGCAGAGAAAGCCAAGAGCCCCTACAGTCTACAGAGAAGAGGGGGGTCTGGTACATGTGTACACTACACTAGCCCCTCCAAGATTTATACACCCATCCAGCAAAAACATGTCCAGGTTCCAAAAGGAAAAATGTTATTCACATTTTAGTCCATCAGATTGGCTCAATAAATGTTGAGAGACTGGGAGATGGCACCAAATCCCTCCCTCGCCATATTCACATTTAACCATGGGAAGAAAGCTATTTACACTTTAGTGCATCCGTTTTGTTTCATAAATGTTAGAGATACGGAATGCGTCGTATCCATCTATCTCGTGACATAGTATTGTTTGACTTAAACAGAAGTAAATATATGTATCTAGTTCCATAAATATTAGAGATAGTATGAATGATCTATGTTGATTTCTTCGATAAATGTTAGAGATAGCGAATGCATCATATGTCCATCTCACGATATCTCCATATTTTAATCCCCAAATGGACCCTTTTTTTATGATTTAGTCTATTAGTTTGTTTACGGATGCCGTATAGATGGTGAGTATATACGCCGTATCTATCTCTCATATAAATGTTAGAGATGGAGCAAGCATTGCATCTTCTAGTTTCAAAACTATCGGATTTGTTCCATAATTACACATATTGGAAATACGGAGTGCTCCATGTCTGTGTTTCAACATGAAGATTTTTCTAATCCTGTGGAAAATAATGTTGCATCTTCTTTCGCGGGATACTTTTCACAAATGTTAGACTATACACGATGTCGTGCAATGTTATATTGTATATATTTATTTAACCAACACAAACAAGTTTAAATTTTAGTTCACTGGTTATTCTTGTCCAAATGTTATTATAGGGTCTTACGCATGTGGAAATATTATTGTTAGCCCCTTGCGTCCATTCATCAATGGTGATGATTGGTAGTCAAATTTGTGAGGTGAGAAGATATATACGACAATAAATACAATATCTTTGATGACATCAACCTAGCTAGATAATTGACCGGCCATGCGTCACGACAATATGAAATAGTAAATGTAACAAAATGAGAAGAAGAAATTTTGGTTGAAGTTTTTTTTTTGGGGGGGGTGGGGGGGGGAGGGATTGGTATAGGTTTGAACAATATGAAATTTTGGTCGCGACAATATGAAATTGTTGTAAGAGATATGTTGGAAACATGTACTAAATTACAACAAATAAAATATGTTTATGTTTAGTTCATTGGGTATATTTCACACTTCTTTTGTGAATGATGCATTTCAGACATCTTGGAGATAGAAGAGTAGTGTACTGGTACAATATCTATCTATCTATCTATCACCTAACATAAACATGTTTAACTTCAAGTAATAAGAAGGATATGCATCATGTAGACAATTTGATATATCCAACATAAATTTCATTATAGGGCATGACATGTACCATCTCCAAAAATAAATACATGAGTCCAAAAGTAAACGTATTTAAGTAAGTCCCTTGCATTCGTTCAAAAATGGTGACGCTGACGCTTGGTAGTCAACTTTGTGAGCTGAGAATATACGACAATATACAATACCTTTTACAACGCTAAATTAGCTGGTATAATTGATCATATTCACATTATGACAATGCATGACAAACATGATATCATTAAAGCATAATCAACAATGGCATTCTACCTCTGTAGTCCTAGGATGAAGGGAGTAGACTCAATTGTACATTTTGTGGCCAGGGGAGGGGAGGATGAAGGGATCACTTTTACATTTCAGCATATATAAATGTTTTGCTTTCTCCACTTCTGATTCTATAAGTTAAAGGTGAAGGGTGTGAAGCGGTAAAAAAAATAAAACAAAGATACTCCCTTAGTCCCGTATAAGTTTATTTTTTAGCTCCTTTCATTTGTCCCAAAATAACTTCTTTTTTAGAGTAATCATTGCATCGAAGTTTTTAAAAGTAAGGAATAATTGTATTGGGAGTAGATAAAATGAAAAATAGTTGTATTGAAATTTGATAGAGTAGGGGTAATTCTAGTTTTTTTTATTGGTATATGTGATATGCGTGAAAAATGAACTTATTTTGGGACGGAGGGAGTATGTCAAATTATTTTATAAAGAGAATGTTTAGGCAATTGTTAGGCCTGTAAAAAGTACTATCATTTATAGATAAAGAATTAAACACACTCCAACAGTCACACTTTGAACTTCACTAACCAAAGACTACCACAAATTCATTTTACCATAACCCCTCATAGAATCTCTTGTGAAGGTAAAACGGAGCATATATGGATAATGACATAAGCTTTGTTTGGTTGAGGCGAGCAGATCGATAGAGTTCTTTTTTAATGTATATGCATAAGTTTGTTGGTGGTCTGATGCTAATGCTTATCTCGTGTTTTTTCATACTTAATCACCAACTAATTGATAAGTTGTACTGTATATATTTGCTGTAAGTAATGTTATTTATGATTTTAGTTCCCGCCCATTTTATTTTTGTATTTATTTTTTTTTGTATAAAAACTTTCTTACCAGCATTGAAAAAATAATTTGTTTTCGTATGAAAACAATGGACTACATTTTTTTTAACATTTACATCCTAATATAAATCCATATATGTACTAATGTTAACCATTAAGCTCTAATCATTGATTAGATGGATCATGCAGTCACAACCCAATAATCATTTTTAAGGTTTCTATTGCCAAAAAAAAGATATCATGGACTCTTCAATCTTTTACTTAGGCTTAGATAAAATAATACTGGTCAACACCGGTTAGAAACTACTAATTAATTCTAGATTTTGGGAATATTGAAACGTGAAAGACTAACGTTCAAAGTCCAAATGAAGTACAACTTTGTTTACTAATTTTGAATACTAAGTTGAAACTCCAACATGAATACAATTAGATAATTATTGATTCCAAACTTCTCAAATATTAAATAAAAATGTAAACAACACATATAAGATATATTAGGATGGATTCTGAATTTAGTATTTTATTTAATTCTAAAATACAAAACAAATAATAGCAAGTAGTGAGTGATGTGTAATACTGTTCTTTTGTTCTTTTATTATTTTTTTAATGGATACTCTTTTAGTCTATCAGCTATAATTAAAAATATAACCAACATATTTAACATGACCATGCAAATTATATTACTTATACTAGTAACCTGTTATTGTCGTGGATTGGCAACTAGTAGAAACCTAATACTTCAAGAAGAAATGGCACAAGATGGTCTTGAGCTACGTAGTAAATAGTACTCTCTTCGTCTCAAAATATAAGGTATTATGGGGCTTGTCCTGAGTCAAATTATTCTAATTTTGACCAAATTTTATAGAGGAGAGTATTAACATCTACCACATGAAAGAAGTAAACTATGAAAATGCATCTCATCAGGATCTAATAATGCTTGTTCGATATCGTAAATATTATTGTTCTTTTCTGTAAATTTAATAAAACTTATAATAGTTTGACTTGGAACAAACAAATATATCCTTATATTTTGAGACGAAGGGATTAATATGTAAATGTTGATCCCTTAGTTCTGTTTTGTCAATAGCTCATTCGATCTTCCTCAAATTCGTCCAACGTCTAAATTTGGTATGTGGTGTTTCATAAAGTACTAAACTAATTAATTGTTTCATGTATCCCTCAAAGTTTTTAGTTTAGATCAAAACTGTCCTTGACCCTCCCGGGGGCATCAGATGAACAGTACCAGTCACCAAATACACTCTAATTTGGTGGAGCAATCACATGACAAATGCATCTTATATATAGTTTCAATTTCTAAGGTCAATCTGATGCTACTCCCTTTTTCTTTCTTTCTTTTCTTTTGCAATTGAAGAAGTGAAATTGCATAAGAATCCTGGCATTGGCAGAGTCTCTAGTTGGAAACAATAGACATTCTTTTGAAATAAACTACTTTCTCTGAGTTGATAATACTTATCGTTTTGAACAAAAACACGACCTCCAAAGAATATCTTTGACTGCTATTTTCTATTATAATATATATAAAAATATGAACAAATGTACGCTTTTGTTGAGGTACTTTTTAAGACCAATCTATACTATTGCCTCTATATTTGTAAGACGGATATTTTGAAAATTATTTATAATTTTAAAGTTTGACATCGTACTTACTAAAACGATAAGTATTATCAATCCAGAGAGAGTAGTTTGTCAAGAAATACCAAGATCCACATTCTTCACCCATGTACTTTTGTACCTGATTCGTCACTGACCATAGTAGTGAATAAAGTACCTGCAGCACAACAACACCAGGAATGGATAAGCTCTGCTCACAACAAAAGTCGTTCTCGTGCACGTTCCTTGTATATAAGGGGGGTGTTTGGGAGTTTAGCCCCTCTCTCCCAAACACCCCCCTAAAGGTCAGCTACCGATCGAAGCGGCTGTCCAAGCCTCTTTGTGCCGTACTGCCGTGTTACTGTGTTAATTTTGGCTCGCGCCACGCTCCACCCTCTTCTGGTTAACGACGACATCCCCGGCCGTTTCAGTACAAGTGTACAACTCGTTTCGATCTGCCGCTCACACCGAGGCGCGCGCGGGAGCTAGCGATGCGGAGTACAAACAACACAGGGATCCCAAGGGGAGGGAATCCGAGAGTTCTCGATCTCGAATTCTCGATCGACGACGACGCGAGACGCGACGGCGTGATCGGTTGACACTGCCACGGTCGCGTGATCCAAGGAAACGGCACACAGCGGCGGCAGCACTCAGTACATACTACGTACGAGCAAGCAGGCTGCAGCAGAGGCAGCGCCTGCCGCCCGCCCGTCGCTAGCGACAGGGTGAGTGAGGTGGGGGGCAAAGCAACAGTGCTAGCGGCAATGGCGCAGACGCGCAGTGGTGCAGTGAATGGGCACAAGTACCGGGCGCTCTGCTCTGCAATCGCTGGCAGCAGCACGTAGCTGCTGCTCGGGATTGCCGATCCCGTGCAGGGCCTGCTGCTGCTGCTAGCCCTGCGTCGCACACCTGCCGTGGCCTCGTCGTGCCGGCCGGCCGGCCAAAGCCAGCGGCAAGAGGAGCTCAGCTCTCGTACTCGTACGTCGCCTGCGCGACTGCAACGA